CTTACTAAACACTGTTATGTAAAAAAAAAACAAATGTTCTAATAATGAGAGGAATTCTGTAAACCACATTTCTGGACAAGGGCTGACGAGTCCCTACTTCCAAAGGTTTCTCACCAGTAAAGGCAGTGGGCAACATTTGTGTTTCTGAAAATCTAAATCAGCTCCTACATTACTAATGACAATTCAGCATATGGTTTTTCTGCTGCCCTTTTTCCTACACTGAAGTTTTTAGTCATCTGCTATATCCTGAATACTGTACAAAACACAGATGTACATATATCCTACTAACTTTCAAATGTATGTTTATTTTAGTGAGCTAGTTGCTGGTGTTTATGCATACTCTTCTTGAAAATTAAACTTTAAATTGCAGTTCACCAATATTATCAGCAGTAATGCAGACACATAAATATGTGAAATGACTTGCCTCGGAGGGTCAGCAAAAACAATGCTATAATTGAGAGTCTGTTTACATATTAAAATGTCATATGAATGACATAATTCTGTGCATTTCTACTTTGAACAACAGGAATTGCTCCCAGGAAAGCGCAAGGCTGCAACCAACATAACCAATGTAGTTGTGATGAAAGCAGAAAACCTTCTGGCAGGAAACATGTCAGGGGACAATGCAAATCTGTGGAATTCATCACTGTATTCATGATGACTTTAAGCAGGGATTATATCTTTAAGATGTGAGGACAGGTACACAAATGTATGGAAGATACATCTTTCAACTATTGAAATCAACTCCAAGGGCTGCTTCTTGCTTCCATTAAGTGGAAGCTTCTATGTTTCCCTTTATAAACGGGACAGTAGAAATAAGCAGCACAGGGCACCACATTCATCCCCTGCTTCCCAGTGATAAAAAGCAAAGCAAAGTGTTCTGCTTATATATTACGCCACATGGCTTAAAGCACTTGCTGGGTGGCTTACAGTGTAATCAAACCAACCTCGGAACGATGGAAGGCTGACTCAACACTCAACCAGCTCTCTGAGCCCTGGATCAAACTCAGGTCGTGAGCACAGTCTTAACTGCAATGCTGCAGTTTAACCACTGAGGCTCCTTGCTAGGTGCCCACTTGAAGTGGAATGCTTCACTTTATAGCCATTCCCATGTGGCAACACATTTTATATTTACTAAAGTTTATCAAACAATTACAGATCTGCTTATTAGGAAGCTCAAGGCACAGTGGTTTAAACTGTAGTACTGCAGTACAGATGGAGTAATTTGTACTCAAATACAAGTACCCCCACACAGCTGGACTTAATGAGGGTCCAGCCTCTAGGACTGGACCATCCACTCATGCATCCGCTGCCGCCTGCAGCCTCAGTCAGCCTTCCAATCACTCTTGGAGCACCGCTCTCTTTCCGCTCATCTAGCCAACTCCAGGCAGTGGGAGGGAGGATCAGGCTCATTAGGTCCAACTGTGTGGGAGGTATTGGAAGACTGACGGTGAGAGCAAGATTCCTCTCACAGAAGTGCCATCTCTCCCACCCTCTGCTGACAAGGAAGTGCAAACGCCACCTATTCCCCCTCCCAGGAAGATAAGACCACCTGGAACAGACCCAGGGATCGTAGAAGAAAAGTGGAAAGGCATGACTGTTAAAGAAAGCGGGAATGTTTTGGCAGGAGTGGAGCGACAGCCCCAGGTAGAGGTAGAGGCGGGGCTTGTAGATATAAAAAAGGGGGGATGGGGACCTGCCTCATGGTTGGGAGTGGATTTGGTTGGAAGATCAATGGATGGGGAAGGTAGAAAAACTAAGAGTCTGTTTACATATTAATGGAGGAGGCGGATGCAAGAAGGAGAAGTGAGAACACCCCTAAACCCTCTTATTGGGGAGAGCGAGAGACAGAGGAGTGGAGGAGGAGGTTAAGGGAAGAGAAGGAAAAGGTGGCGAGAAAGATTAGAATGGTGGATGATGGAGCTACAGCGGAGGGGTCCCTCAGAAGACTATGGCTGGAGGATTCCCCCGCGTGAGACCAGGCCTGGACAGATGACCAGAATGAAGACACAATCCCCTTACTGGAAGGGGAGACAGATCAATTACTGAACTTGGACTTTACGCTGGACTGGTTGGGACCCTGAAACACCCAGGGGTGTAACCCCTTTAAAATTGAAGAGTGGAAGCCCCCCTCTAACCAGTTGTTACAGGGAAGAAACGGTTGGAATACCTTTGTTGACACAGGTTATTTGTTAAACAATTCAATAAATGTTACTCCAGTTTCTAAACCAAAGAGGTCTGTCAATTTATTTGAAGAAAAACAGGAGCCTGAACCCAAACCCTTACAGATATTCGTATATGAATGCCCCCATCTCTATACTGCAGCCAAAACTCTGCTCACGGTCAGTATTTGACACCAGTGGATTCTGGCAGCCGGTTTGAGGTTGATTTAGCCTTCCATCCTTCCGAGATTGGTAAAACGGGTACCCAGCTTCCAGCAAGGAGAAGCTAGAGGAATGTGTAACTTGTGTAATTTTAAAAATTGTGAACCGGTCAGAGAGTGCTTTAAGGACTATGGGACGGTATAGAAGCATGCATTTTACTAAGCTTGACACTATGGCTGTTCTGGGCAAGACTGTTCAATTAGATTTGCAGTTTTACCATTTTATTATTAGTTCTATTAGATTTTATGAGTGGATATAGTTTATAATATTTATCTCTATATGCTGTCTTAGAGGAAAAGGTCAAATGAAATATTTAAAAAGAACCAAAGAGGATGAATATCATTTTAATGCATATCTAGGTTAAGACAAATATTTATGATGTCATACTTTCTGTTTAACTTGATGGACAAAGAGAACTCCTAGCATTTTCTTGCTCTTGAATTAATCTGTCATGTTTCTTAGCAAGCATGAAAATAAACTTACAAGCAGTAATAATTATATTGTGGTAGGGGTGGGAAGTATTTACCAGCATGAGACATGAATTGTTGTAAGTGTATTCCTCATCCAAGGACAGTGACTCTGACTTCTTTATTATAAAAAGAGTGACAATAAGAAATAATGCAGACCATCATGGTTAGATGGAGAAATGCCATCTAATTAAACTCCTATGCACTGAGTCACAGGAATGTCAGGTATGCAGTTCTGAAAGCTAACAGTATGAATTCATGTCAACATATTACTTCCACGGATTTTTAAAAAGTATTCTACTATGAGTGGACAAATTAAACAAAATACCACAGTTTGTACTCTTCAAATCCTTTGTGCAATGGCCAACACTGAAGGTATTAATAAAAGAAATGGGGTTTGGAACAAGATTTAATAATATGATACAACAATTATATTCTGGAAATAAAGCAATGGTGATAGTAAATTATGGTGTCACAGATATTATAAATCTAAGTTGGGGAACAAGACAAGGATGCTCCCTATCTCTGATGTTGTTTGCTTTGATAATGCAATGATTGGCCAATGTAGTAAAAACAGATGATACAATTAAAGGGACTGAATTTCAGCAGAAAATTAAAATAAGTTGATTTGCAGATGACAATTTGTTTAAGGAAAAAACCCAATAGGAGTTATAGATAAGATACAAAAACATTTAAAGGATTTTGTGGAATTAAGTGGATTAACAATAAACTGGAACAAAACTGAAATGATGTTTTATAAATATTGTAGAAAATAAATACAAAAACTGAAAAATAAAATTACATTTAAAGAGACAGAGAGCATACATTTGGGTAAACATTTTACAAAAAAATCAAGACTTAAATAAAACAAATATGAGAAGAATAAGGAAAGAAGTAAAAGATAAGCTACAGAAATATAAAAGGTTGAAATTATCTTGGTTTGGTATAATTGCACTGTGCAAAATCAAAATATTACCAAAATTTAATTTTTTGTATTGGATGATCCCATCAGTTCTCAGAGCAAGAAATAAAGGAAATATAACAAATAATAAATGAATATTGTAATGAAGGAAAGAAAACCAAAATAAATAAGAACCTGTGGTATTTATCACACGTAAAAAGGGAGGATTCGGAATGTCAAATACTGTATTAGTAAATATTATGTTGCAAAGCAATTAAGAATTATCCTAGAAATTATAACAGACAACAAGATTATGTGGAATGATATTGAATTACAAGAATTATATGAAATTGGAGAAGTAGAAGAACATTCTTGGTATTAAAAATATTTTTAAAATAATTTAAAAGATCCAGAATACTTTTACAAATAACGTAATGGAGATTTGGAATAAATGGAGACAGATATTAACTTCTGGAATATCTCCTTTAACTCCTGTACAAGAGTTTGAAAATTTCCTAAGATATGGGACAAAGGAATTGACTAGTGTTTTAAAAACAAAACAGATATATAAATGGGAAGAATAGAAAGAAAAAAATAAATCTAAAGAACAAATAAGAACTAATTTTGCAGAAGAAATATTAAATTGGTTAAATTCAATGCAACTGGAGCAGTGAGTAATAAAGAAAAATTCAACAATGGATAGAAAATTGACCAAGTTTGAAGATATCCTAAAGAACATGGAAGACAGGGATAGATGAAAAAAGAAAAGAAAAGAAGAATATGGGTAATTTATAAAATTTTGATAGCTCAGGAGAATAGTTAGGATTTTTAAAAACTATGGGAGACAGATACAAGGAAGATAGATAAAGAGGACTGGAAAACATTTGGAATAGAGGAGTTTCTAAAAATACATAAATTAGAATAAAAGAATGGGGTCACGAAGAGTGAGGCACGACTAAACGACGACAAAATATAGTGGAGATAGCAGCTAACACCAGTAAAATTAAATACTATAGACTCTAACATTCTAAGAAATGCACTGTACCTGGTTATGTGTAAACAATTCAAAGGAGTGTTCCTGCACTCGCTGTGAAAAGAGTCAAAGCTGTATTTTATTTAACATAAAGTGTGCTGGCAGCTGGTGGCTTGCAGACCACAGAAGCTTATGCCAAAGAACACTTGTTAGTCTTCAAGATGCCGCCAGATTATTCGTTCTAGTTAACTCTAGACATAAACCCAATTCATTACCTGGGCCCAGGAGGACGCCAGTCATCCACATATGTCCCAAACTTCATTGGCTTTCCCAAAATCGGTGGATATGTGCTGCTGTATGAAAAAGCAAACATGAGCTCTGCATTAGATTGTTAAATAATCATGTCACACCCCGCAAGAATAATCTCCAGTCGCCAAAATAATGTATTTTATTACAATGAACAGGCTGGCTTCATAACATTTATGTTCTTATTACTGTGTCCGAGAAAACAATGCTTCTGTCTATCAAATCTGAGCAAACTGAACTTGCTAAAGCTAGAAAAGGAGCACATAATGTGAGGAAGACATCTCCAAAGGCAGGAATCTTATTACCAGATATTATTTGGACCACCCATTCCCTTGAACTAAGGTATAGCTCCGTTAAATGATGCCGGTAACAAGCCATACTACTGTTTGGTCCAAGTTCTTAGCCATTCCATAACGTTAATTAAAATCTTAAAACTGATCTTAGAATTGCTAGGAAAAGACTCTGGAAGCATAATGGGACTTTTCTTTTCAAGCACACTGGAAAGGGCCACTTTCTTTCCACAACTTATTAGACTAGACCAGGGGTGTCCAACCTTTTCACCTTCCTTGTGCCACATTAGAAGATGAAAATTTGGTTTGGGCTGCACATAAATTTGGTTTGAGCCGCATGGGGGGGCAGCCCTAGCCATCCTCCGCAGCCCTGCTCCAAGCGCACTTACTGGCAGCTGAGGTCTCAGATAGCAGAGGCTGCCAGCTTTGACTCTGGTGGCTTTATGGGGCCGGGAGGCTGCCAGCTTTGACTCCAGCTTTGACGGGGATGGCACAATGCAGTCATACAGCCCCCCCTCCCCTCCTGCTCCTTCCTTCCCCTCTCCCCCCCCCTACCATTGTGACGTTCCCCAGCCGAATTCTGGCCGCAAGTGTCGGCACTGTAACTTGAAACTTTGGAATTTCTTTTAAAAATAAAAAATTGCACTGGGTGGCATTAGGAGCCGACAGTTCACAGGTTGTGGGTTGGACAAGCCTGGACTAGATGTCTCCACAATCACTGAATATTGGCAATGTCAGGTAAGGCTGATGGGAGCTTGAATTCAACAACATCTGGAGGACCTTGATCCATGTTTTAAAAAACAAAGGGGGCTGCTTAATTCCATCATAACTGTAGAAGGAACCATACCTTCCAAAATGGCAAGAATGGGCAGTATGGTCCTGTATATACTCCTGAACTACAACTCCCATCAGTCCTTATCACTGGTTTACACAGCTACAGAGATATGCACTCCTGCTCTACTGAGCTTTTCATAATTCTTAACAGCAATCTGACAGAGCAGATGCAACCAGTTTATATAACAAAATGGGCAAAGAGTGAAGCACACACATGATACCGTCTGCATTCACAAGCTGCACAAATAAAGCCTCTATAAGAAAAAGACATAGTCATATGCTTTGGCTGCATTACTTGGATTCAGTTTTAACTGTAGCGTTTATGTCAGAGTGGATCTGAGCAATTTTATATAAAAAAATATTGTACCACAGTAGCAGGACTCTTATCTAAACATACCTTTCTGATGGTTGGAAATGACACATAAGCTGGTCATATGCATTAAATTCTTTTGATGGGTCTGAGCAACAGTATTGGTTGTTGCAGTTTCCACAGCAGAACACCTCACAAGTTGTATCCAAATATATTCGTCCATTGGTATATTTGTATGTTTTACAGTTCTCACATAAACCTGCAAAAGAAGGAAGTCATTGCACCACATACATTACATCTGAAACCCTCAGTATATTATTTCCTACCAAGCTCACTTATCTGCATCTTTTCTCATCCCATCTTGGAATCATCATCTGCTTTTATGCACAACTACATTGTATGACTGCTGCATAATTATACCTTTGTATAAAATGCATATCTTTTAAGAGATGGGATGATCTTTTGAAAACCATTTAGTAAAACACAGTGAGGGTTGTCTGGCCTCTGATATCAACTGGAAGTATTTACTTTCCATTTGTTTCAGTGCAGTACTATTATGTTACCGATTTTATTTGACAGAAATAATCGATCGGGAACTACTGTCATTTCCTTGAATGCATATTAAAAATAGCTGCTATTTGTCTTTCAATAGCTATCATAATTTCCTGACCTGAATTCCTGCATGTATTGTTCACCGAATATTTTCCTCTGGGCTTTTGATTACTTAATTAGAGCAGTGACACCTAATTTATTGCTATACTCCTCGCCAAAGAAAAGGTCTTGTGATATATTTCTTGACTATTTTTTTTTTCTGCCAGTATATACGTCAGCAATGCCTTTTATCTGATGGAGCCATCAGAGTCAGGGACAAAACAATTGCATGCCACCTATGAGGCAGGAGATCAGTGAGCACATTTCTTAACCAAAAAAAGAAAACAAAATAATCTCCCCAACCCTTTAAAAGTTTTCATGAAGTTTCAAAGCAGTGGTGCCAGCGATAGTGGGAACTCTCCCCGCACTCCACATACCATTACTCCCCGGTTGCTACTAGAAGAGGGGCAGACAACATTTTAATGATTTGGGGTTTTGATCCAGACTTGCTATTGCACAAACTAAACGCCTCATTCTGCTTAAGCGCCAGTACAGGCTCTTAATGTAAGGAGTATAGGAAATGCTCACTGATTTTCCCTTAGCCCTGAGTCCTGAAGCACTACTTCACATTCCAGTCCAGAATATTTTGGGGGGCTGTAAAGGGAAACCACATTTCAATCAATTTGTTCTATACTATCTTTCTGACAATGAGTTCAAGCCCAGAGTTCTTATGATGTTCTGTCTTGAAGAGGCACTGATTTCTCCCTCAATTTTCCCACTAGCTGGACCACACGCTCCTGAGGCTGTCACAAGAACCACTCTGCCACCTTTTAATATCTTTTAACAGCTAAACCCTTAGATACCAGTTGTGACAGGCAACCTCGCTCGGTGTCAGCAAGGAGGAGCTGATTGGCAGGGGTTGAGCCAATCAAAACTCCCCAGGTGGGTTCAAGGGAAGAAAAAAGGAGTCTGGGAAGGAGAGAGTTGAGTGGAGAGAAAGTTAACAGTCAGAGAGAGCAGGAGGAAGGCTGAGGCATAGTTTGCCAGCACAGTAGTGTGGGTTTCCAAAAGAGAATTGTCTGTCATAGTTATATTGTTAAGAAAGAACTTGTTATAGTTAGAAGGTTAGTTCTATAAGATACAAGAAACTGCATGACTACGAGGTGTGCCACGTAACGATTTAAAAAAAAAAAAGGTAAAGGTTCCCCTTGACAATTTTTGTCCAGTCGTGTTCGACTCTAGGGGGCAGTGCTCATCCCCTTTTCCAAGCCATAGAGCCAGCATTTGTCCGAAGACAATCTTCCATGGTCACATGGCCAGTGCGACTTAGACACGGAACGCTGTTACCTTCCCACCGAAGTGGTCCCTATTTATCTACTTGCATTTGCATGCTTTCGAACCACTAGGTTGGCGGGAGCTGGGACAAGCGACGGGAGCTCACGCCGTTGCGTGGATTCGATCTTACGACTGCTTGGTCTTCTGACCCTGCAGCACAGGCTTCTGCGGTTTAGCCCGCAGCGCCACCACGTCCCCCCACGTAACGATTACACTTCATAAAATAAAATACATTATTGTTTGTTTTAAATTTGAATCACTTTGCCTCTTATGTTTTGGGCTTAAGTACAGCCCATGCAGGATTAGGGCCAGCCTGACCCAGGAATGGCCTGGTTTTTGCAAGTCTCGGTCCCTGGCCTGTGCAGCAGCTGCTGGGCCACTCATGAGGCTCCCCTGGAAACCTGGAGGGAAGGCCTGTTGAAGGAGTGGTTTTGCCTCCCAGACCTTGCCTCAGCAACAAAGGTCTTTGGTTGAGCTTTTTGCTGCTTTTGAGCTCCAGAGTCCCGTGTTCCAATATTCCTGCATCTGTTCCTGCCTTAGCGCCTGCTCTTACCTCCTGCACCTTGGCGCCTTGTTCTGGCTCCGTGTTCCCAGCCTTGTGCTCCTGCCTCTGGGCTTTGGACTTGGTACTCTGCGTAGTGGACTGGGTCCTGGTGCCATTGCTCCTGGTAAGGGGATGCCTGGGATATCTTGGACTGTGATGGCCCAGCAAAGGGACCAGAGCGTTGGAAAAGTGATTAGCCAGTTGGGCTGGTCACATATTTTGGTGGCAGTGATATGAAGCTGGAAGATGAACCCCTCAGTATCTAGTAGAGGGTTTGTTTTGTTTTAAAAGCCAGGAGAGGTCTGAGAAAAATCGAAAGTAGAAGATTTAGAGACCAGGTAGAGGAGCAGGATCAAAGAATTTGGGGAAGATTTTGGAGCACTTGAAGTGGTCTCGGGCAGACCCTAGGTGGATTTGTAGACTTGGTGGCTAGAAATTCTAACTCTGGTAGAGTTAGGAATCATTTCAGAAAGGTCAGTTGCCCTCTTGGCTAATACAATTCTCTGAGGTATAATTTTAAAGCAAATGGTAGGAGAATCAGTGGAAAGTTGGGGGAAGATCAAGTTAATTAAGCAGTATTCTCCTGATGTAAACCTTCTGGGTAACATAAGGAGATAGATATTCCCTAGATAGTACAAGGAAGATAACATCGAATCTTTCCCCACAAGCTTTATGAGGACTTGTGCTGAATTTCATATTAAGGATGGAGACAGAACATGATACCTTAGATCACAAATCAATGGTGGACTAAGCAGAAATTTATAGGGAGATTAGAATAGAAACAGCTCAGGATAACAAATTGTTTAAAACCAGAGCAAAAAAAAAAAAAAAGATTTGATCTATCAGCTTTGGTCTCGTATTCTCCTTCACGGATTGCTGCCTTGTTGTGGTGAAGGGGCTTGAGTAATTCAGAGAAGCTATGGGCTATGCCGTGCAGGAACACCCAAGATGGATAGGTCATAGTGGAGAGTTCTGACTAAACGTGACCCACCTGGAGCAGGCAGTGGCAAGCCACTCCAGTATCTTTGCCAAGAAAACTCCAAGGGGAGAAACAAAAGGCTATAAGATATGAAGCTGGAAGATGAACCCCTCAGGTTGGAAGGCATCCAACATGCTACTGAGGAAGAGCAGAGGACAAGTACAAGTAGCTCCAGAGCTAATGAAGTGGTTGGGCCACAGCTGAAAGGACGCTCAGCTGCGGACGCGCCTGGAAGTGAAAGGAAAGTCCAATGCTGCAAAGAAAAATACTGCATAGGAACCTGGAATGCAAGATCTATGAGCCTTGGGAAGCTGGAGGTGGTCTAATGGCAAGAATAAACATTGACATCATGAACTAAAATGGATGGGAATTGGCGAATTCAATTCAGATGATTATCATCTCTACTATTGTGGGCACGAATCCCATAGAAGAAATGGAATAGCCCTCATAGTCAACAAAAGAGTGGGAAAAGCTGTACTGGGAAACAA